TCTCTCTCTCTCTCTCTCTCTCTCTCTCTCTCTCTCTCTCTCTCTCTCTCTCTCTCTCTCTCCACTCTCCTCCCTTGCCGTTCTTTTTTCCTCAAAAAGAGGAACACGCATAAGCCATGTATTTTTAGCGCTTTCGTTTGCTGGCCGCGCGATGTCGAAAGCAAAAGTCGCAAAGAGGAGAAGGGGCGATCGACGATGTGGGACAAATTCTCGCGGATGAGCTCATACGCTCGATAACGTCTTTCGGGGGAGAGAGGAAATCGATCGAGTTTCCTTTTTTCTTTTTTTCCTCGATCGCCTTGATCTCCTTTAGTATCGTTTAGCTACGATCTCGTCGAATCGTCGGAATTTTTACCAAGAATAATCCGATTACATAGAAAAACTGCTTCGCTTCGATGTCACGGCGACAACCATAATTTAACGCGTACTCGTAGTCTGCGAATTTTCATTTGCCCGGTTGGTCAGAATTTTCGAAATCCGCATAAATCTCTCGAAAGAGGTTAGCGCCTTTGTTGAACTTGAACTCGGCGAAGAGATTGCACGTACGGTACGGTATCGCGAGAGAAATCGAGACCAGTATTCGATGTTCGGCAAGGATATTATATTCGTCGAGAAGAGCGAAACAATATCCGTGACGAATCTACGATTTCTCTTGGTTCGTCAACCGTGTATTTCCGCGTGACTGTGTCTGTAGCTCAACGTATTTTATCTTTCATTATTTTTAATGACATCACCCGAGCCGCATTCGAACAGACGTATGCCAGGGTGAAGGGTACGTTTCGCGTTTGTCAGCTTCTGTTTTTAGCGATGATCGTTGCTTAAAATAGCCGTTGATTTCAGCAACAAGTATACACAACGCGAGGATAACGTTCGCTGCAATGACTTTTCCAAAGGGCTCTGTCCGTAAGAACGGAAAGTCAACTTCCAATTATCGAATGAAAGTGCAACTGCACGCCATTTACCGCGCGTGCAGTTGCATAAACGTGGCTTGATCGGTTGCTCGAGAATCCCAGTTTTAAGGGTTGAAAGCTATAGTTTAAACGTGCACGTGTACGGTGCTCGCGTCGATCATTCTTGTTACCATCGATCGGTTTCGGTGGCACGCACCTCGCGATCAAATCAAAACGGATCCGTCGATCAGACCAATTGGCCGCGGTCGTCACGATCACTCACCATTAAAAACGACGGATCGTATGTTTGCACGCGCGATTGTTTGTTAATTAGTTTCTAATGAGCGTTCAGAGGGCATGAGGTAAGATCGCATGCTACGAGGCGGGTTGCTTGTCAAGCGAATTAGAGAAATCATGGCATGCGAGTCGACCATGCGAGCAGTGGCAGTTTATACCTCCATTTGAGTACAATACATCGTATACGTACTATCGTCATCATCGCCTAATTTAATCAAAATTTCTACCACTCTATTTCCATTTCATTTCTTTAGAATATTAATGCAAGTCGAAACTTTTTTTTCGTTGTCTTGTCGTTTGTTCGTCCTCGAATTAACCATATAATAAATCTACTCGTACGTGATCCAATTGAGGTCGAGCGTAAGGTAGGTTTTTTTTTATCGCACCGCACTCGCAAGGCTGAATCGCGACGCGACTCGTCGAGTGGCAACCTTTTCGGTCAACGCTCGTTTCTCGGAACAAGAAATCGTCTATAGGTATCGCGTCTCTAAATAGAATCTATGCGGCTTTCGAGATGTAGCGTTAAGCTTAACGGATTTCGTTGTCGTAATTTATGGCCACTTTATGTAAATAGCGTTCGCGCAAATTAAGTCACTTCTGCGGCGATGGTATAATAACAGTCTTCGAAATCGTTACGAGAAACAGCTGTCTCTTTTAATTCGCAATTATTACGCGAAAATAGCAAAACATCCGCTCTATTCGAAAGAATCTTCTTCTACGAAAAAGCTTTCTGCATTCTACGCGGTGCAGTTTATACTCGACGAGTCTTCCGTGTCGAAACTTTGCTTATTTACGATACTCTTTTCAACGTTTTCGCGCTTAAAGAATACGCATTTATTTGCAAGAGTGGTTCCAGGATACGTTGTAGCGCGCCATCGGTAGTTGTCAGTTCGCGGTGGTGTTTTTGACAAATACGCGTAACTTTAGCGTTCAAAGGTTCTCAATTCCGCGTGTGTATACGTATACAGGGTGTCCCAAAAGTCGGGGAGGAGCCGGAAATGGGGGGTAGCTGAGACGATTCTGAACAACAATTTCCTTTGCAAAAATGTCGGATGGGGCTTCGTTAAGGAGATATTAAGCGAAAACCCCGACCAATCAGAGCGCGCGTAGACCGTTGGAGCGGCCGCGGTAGCGAAGGGTATGCGCTGGGCGGCCGCGCTTGTACGCGAACAAGTGACTCGACGTGCATCGAAGGACGTTGACGCTGCCGCCTAGCGCGTAGCCTTTGCTACCGCGGCCGCTCGAACGGTCTACGCGCGTTCTGATTGGTCGGGGTTTTCGCCTAATATCTCCTTAACGAAGCCCCATCCGACATTTTTGCAAAGGAAATTGTTGTTCAGAATCGTCTCAGCTACCCCCCATTTCCGGCTCCTCCCCGACTTTTGGGACACCCTGTATATAGCTCGTTGACGCTGCGAGCTAACCGTGACTGTCACGTGCCACAATCATAGATAAACGTTAAACGCAAAGTGCATACATGTACACGGTCCACATCATACAATTTCCAAGACGTTGCGAATGCTCATCGACGATAATTGCTACGCGTTTCCGAGTGAGAACGCACCTGCGTGTAATGTGCCTGAAAAAAATGATGCACCTTACGTTTCGCACGCATCGATCGAACGATTCAAACACCTGCGCGACCTTCGATAAAAAATGAAATCCGATTACCCGGAAGCGAAGCCGACGTCGATGTATTACGCGTTTCAAGAGCCTGGATCGAATTTGTCTTTCATTCGCAATTACAGCCTCGTAATATGACCGGTCGCGGCATGGCGTGGTATCTCGGAGCTCGCAAGCCGATTATTATAGATCGACCCAATTGGATTGACAGGTAACACCGATTTTTTTGTCAGGAAATCGTCGTTTCTCATCAATTCGCGATGCAACGTGCAATTTTCCTGAACAATCGTGCAGTCGGCTCAGGAGATGGACGACTAAGGTGTTGAGATGTTACGAAGTATACAGCAATCGAGAGAGCGTGTCGGATGTACTGTATTGTTAGACCACGGCGTAAAAAGGCAAGACATCAACACAGATCGGCTAAAAAAATCCGATATCCATTGCAAAGATATACAAATTCGCACGTAAGTTTCCAAAAGGACTTTTACTTCAAGGAGGAGAGAGTTTATTCGAGAAGAAAAGACGGAGCGGAAAGGTTGTCCGGACCGGAGATGGCGGGCACGGTTGAAACAGCCTTGAACCGACTCGCGACGCCCGATAACGTCATCGTGTACTATTAGTACGAGTTACCACATAACGCTTTAAACGCGACACGCCATCGCCACATCGCGCGTCGCTTCGGTACATATATACGTACATCGCGCATCGGTTCGGTGTGACAGATTTTCCAACGATTCGCTCGTCGAGGTAACTTACTGTTTTTTACAAACACAAAACGTTCAGGATGAAACAGATTACGCTATTACCTTTACTTCTGTAGTGTCCGCGCCTCCCATACTCAACAATAAGGAGTCAAATAATAACACGAAACGTAGGGTACGGGATTGGTCGCGTAGATAAAGCGGTCGACTGTGGATCCGAGAATCGTGGGTTCTCGAATCTCCGTGCTTTATTTTTCGTATAGACTTCTACATATGGGGGCTCGTCCGGGGTGGGGGGTTACAGCGGCAACTACGCCGAAGAGGACCGGCCAGTGACGATGAGTGACGATGAACAACAATGACAAACGAACGACGGTGTCGTGTTGACGGTGGAGCGGGCAGCAGCAGTGAGGCGTCGAGAGAAAAAGAGAGAGGGGAGTACACTCCAGGGAAGGGGCAACTTGAGGTGTTGTCGGAGTGGGACTCCCAAAAAGAGGAGAAACGGCGAAAGAGAGAGGGCGCGCACTGCTGTTGAGACGCAAAAATCGAAAGACGGACATTCGAGGGCGAATGTCAATTCAGGATGGCCGAGTGTAGTGTTCGCGCCTCCCGTACCCAACAATAAGGACTCAAATAAGAACACGAAACGTAGGGTACGGGATTAGTCGCGTAGGTAAAGCGGTCGACTGTGAATCCGAGGATCGTGGGTTCGAATCCCCGTGCCTTATTTTTCGTATAGACTTCTACACTTCTTTCGTAACTCCGTTTTGAGTTTGAAAATAACGAAGCATACAGCTGTCGCTTTTTGATATCGTTCTATATCTATACATTTATATCGAATCACGAATCACGTTCTCTCGACTATCGAATATCGTTCAACTCTTTCCTACGGAACCGCGAAGCAACACGCACGTTTGTTTCCCTAGCGTTCTCGAAGATCGTCTGTCTATCCTCATCGAGATTAGCAGTGACACCTATAAATTTCAGCGAAACAGCGTGAGTTTGATCGTTGGAAAGTCGTTTATACTTGGTAGCCACCAGTGACGCAACGATTTAATAGGTTGCAGACCAACGATGACCTTGACCTCGCTCCCACCTCCACTCTTTCTCAACGTACTCGTTGTTCGTCCACCCAGACATTTTACTACTCCGTTCTCTTGCTTTCAATTTAAACGGATATAGCGTTCTGTTATTCGCTCTACGAACTGACCGCAATCGTTACGAATCCCATGAGAAATTCTACTCGAACGAATGCGTAACACGCGAAACGTAATCGTTTAAAAACAATTGCGAACGCAAAGATTCAGACGGCGCTGCTCGTTATCTCGACCCAACAGGCTTCTTTTGATTTATTCGCGTGGTATAGGCAAACGGTTCGGTCGGTTCGTTGGCCTGTTTCTCGATCTCGATCATCGAGTAATCGTTTACGCGCGGAGCTCCGCAGTACCGTCTACCGTGGCGAAGACGGTGCCAAAATGTACGTTGGTTAGTCGGTCTGTGGTGTTGCCGTTTAGTTAGCCAACTTGTCCGACAACCTCTCCCACTCGTCGAAAAGAACGTTTTCAGCCAGTCACCGTTGCCGACTTTTAGATCAATTTTAAACCGCAACGGCATCGATTTCTGTCTTCCTCGTCTTACGTGGAACAATGCCACGTTTATCTCTACCCTGCAACGAAATTGCTACTATTTCAACTTGGATCCGATTCCTTCGGTTACAATAACCGCGATATCAGAGTTAAGCGTAACTTTCGCGATCCTCTGATTACTCCGTGTACCGTCACGTCGTTTTTGGTTTGGACGCAAACGTGCATTTCGTTCGCGGCGAAAATATATATGCGTATATACATGTTTCGTGTTGGTGACAGCGACGGCCGTGGCCCTGAAAGCTGCATTCTGAACCGATCTTTCCAGTTTGTCCCACGCGACGCACGCCGATCGTGGGCAACATCTTTATCGCGCGTAAACCGCGAATCGATGTTATCGTTCGAAGCGCAAAGCGGTATTCGCGGTAAGCTCGTAATTGTTTTTTCATCGTCGAATGAATGCTCGCCGGATCGAGTTTGTTCTCGCGTACAGAGAAATAAAAGATACAAGAACAAAAATCTCGGTTTCTGGAAAAGAAAATAAAACAAAGCGTGGCGCGACACTCGCGACGAAGATAAACTTGAAAGGAATCGCGAATGTCGCTACTTGACGAAACGAATCGGAATAGGTATCGATCGCAAAAAAGTCAAGTTGTACGAGATGGTTTTTTGTTCGGCGACCAGGTGAAAAACCATTTGAATGCAACTCGAAATTCTACGGTTCGGCGAGACGGGGATGAATGAATGGAAACCGTGAAAAGCGGAACAATTCGGTTGCGTTAAAAAGGCTGCAAGGTCGTGGAGACGTTAACGCGCGTGATGTAACGTGGCATCGAGATCAACCTCGTTGATTATTCGTTATGTTTTTCGAGAATATCGTTTGCATGGTCGTTCGGTAAACCGTCTGGTATCGACGCGGTGCGCCGACAATGTAAGGTTTAAGGTTTATCGAGTAACGAGTAGCCAGTAGCGAAGAAAGGTTCGTAGAGTTCACGAAAGGGGGACAAACGAGCGGTTTACCTTTCGAACTAGAACGACTCGCGAGCGCGATTAATTGGCGTTTAACGCTGCGTGCACGCGCCCTGTTAGAATTCATACTCGCAATCGGAGAAACAAACACTTCGGTCTGTCGTAATTTCGTCGGTTAGCATATTACGTCGAGCCAGCGTTATCTTATCTTCGGCGTAAAATTAATCCGTCGTTTCGCGATTCTGTCACGATCAGACAAGCGTATTTCCATTTTCAGGTGACGCGGTCCGTGTACGGGTACCGGTCCAAAGTAAACTCGGTTTCGGAGCGAGAGCCGAATCTCGTAAAAAGGAACGAATACCTTTGATCTCGGCGATGTGTGCGTCGTATTCGCTTTTGGTGCGCACGTACTCGATTCTGCCGGGGTTATGAAAGCTTCGTGTGCGATACTCGGCGTACCACTCGGACGGGATTCGATCATCCGGTCCCAGATGCTGTTGGGGGCTGCTGGTCCGCCTTTGCGATAGACTCTCCTCCGAGGGGAATCTGGTAAAGGAAGTGACCGAACTGGACTTGCTCCCGTGACTGAACGCACCGTGACTGTGGCTCTGATAAGCCGAATCCTCGAGGGCGTGTTCCTCGCTTGGCGTCCTGCTGGACTCGGTGAGGACACGATGGTGATGAGCGAGGCCGGTGGTACCGGGACCGATTTCTCGGACGCTCTTTCTCACGGTGATCTTCTCGAATTTCACCACCTTCGCGCCGTTCAATTCACCCTCCTCCACCAATCTCTCGAAACTCTCCTCGAAGGATGAATCGCTGGTCCTGGACGAGGGCCTAGGGTCCGCGATCGATCGAAACCGAGCGACGCGTCGCTTGGCATCGATCTCCTCGAATAGGTCTTCGGTGCTCCGGTGCTCGGTGGCTCCGCCGGACCACACCTGCTCGAAGAAGCTAACTCTGTCCCGGAGTCGACCACCACGTGGTGTTCTCGGGCTGTCGCCCGCGCCGGTAGGACTCTCGCTCTTCGGTGGCGTCGACATACCTGAAGTAGTCGCGCTCCGTTCTCTCTGCCAACGATCGGATCCAGTCCTTATCTATTCTCTCGAACGCGTTAAGAAATTCATGCCGATGTACCCGCTGCACCCGTCCGTTTCCGGCTCGCGCTGTTTTCACGGTCGAGCTACGCTCGTGGACACCTGTTCTCCGCTCACCACACCCTACGGGCACCACCACCACCGCGTACATCGGCTCGTTGCGCCTCACGAAAACTCGTCGGTCGACGCCAACGTAAAACAGAAACAAACGATTCGTTTTTTCGCGCTCGTGTTCTCGCTAGATTTTACTCAGGCAAGCGTCTAGCGTGCGATTACGTTCAACCAACGACGCGCGCAGGCATATCAGCCGTTCGCGACTATGTACGATACGCGTCTACCGCTCACGGAATGCACTCTGGCCGTCCGCGCCGGTTCGATATCGGTGCCTCTCTTCCCGACCTCTCGCCGGGTCCCCACCTCGTTCCGCCATGCGGTGCCCTCCGTGCCCCCCTATTCCCCCGATCCACCCACTAGCCGTGGCCGCGAGCCGCATTGCACGATCACGAGGACGATCGCAAATCGCAACGACCGACGACAAGGACAAGGATCAACGACGTTCACGTCTCCAGCGAACCGTGCTATGCGCCGCTGCTAACGCTGACGCTGACGCGGACGTTTCCACGTCGCGGTCGTCATCGTCTACCAAGCTCTGCCGCGTCATATCTCTTTCTCTCTCTCTCTCCCTCTCGCTCTTACTTCATAACCTTCCTGATGGGAACACTCCGGCCGATCGATGCTATTATCCTGCGTCCTTCTCCGCCGGCCGGTTAAATGTCACTTCGCGCGGCGCTGCGGCGCCACGTCGGTGACGCGTCGCGCCGGCGCCAGCGTCGCTTCGTTTTGAAACGCGCGCCGTTTCCTTCACGGTCTTGGATCGTTTCGCGTTACACCGGCGTGTTTCCGGTTACGAATATCAGCCAATGTTCTCGTGAAACATTTTTTTCGAAAAATGATTTTCTTTTTTCCTCTTAATCGGACGGTACCACGTATAATATGCGTGTGAAATACTTTGATGTCCAACTGGAAGAATTCGGGATCCAGGGCGAGTTTGAATGTTCGTGAAAGAAAATGATAGAATGTCGATACATCGAAATGCGTGTACAAAATTCGAGACTGCGCGTTGCACGTCGTACGGTGGAAAAATCGTCGATAGCGAGTAGATATCTGCATGGCTCGTCGCTTGCCAATAAAAGAGATTTGGCAGTTCCGCGGACGATCATCGGCGATTATCGTTTCGCGTGGATTGGTCGCGATTATTAGTCGACGTCAAGGTTTCCAGATCAACGCGTATACAAAAATAATATTTTCGCCCGGAAGCATACGTATATCTATACAGCTCGACACGTATCGTAACGAGTAGGGATTACATTAATTCTACGATAAGCTTTTTAACAAATGTACTATATATTGGAATCGTATCGCTTTATCTATGAAAACAAGCACGCATTTAACAAAGGACTTTTAATCGATTTATTGGCCGATAAAGTAATTGTATTTGTAAATTAGTTCGAAAACAATTTTAACTTAACGTCCTTTAAAAACAGCAAACAAATCTAACTTAATTACGGATTACAACGATACGAACGCGTAATCGGCTCTCAAATTTGGAGGTCGTCAACTTTTATGTACCGAAGTAAAAAAAAAAAAGTTAACGATTGCAATTATGATCGTACCACGGCAGGTGGTCGTCACATCTATTTATAAATAGACGAGCCACGGTCTTCTATTTCTCTTACGCGATGCAGCGGATAAATGCGCGAGTCACAAGATCGCGCAGACCACCTACGTGCAATTCCCTGATTTGTGATCAACGCACGTGGAATATCGCGTATCATGTTTTGCCAATTTCCACGCGAGTTACGTTCTAAATAGAATTCCCGATAGTTCAATTATGTCGTTCAAAGTTTTACCGAATGACGGCCGATGAGAGGCTTACTTTTCAATTGTAAAAGGTTTTGTTTTACGACGAATCTATCGTATCGAATATCCCGATGGTTATAAATTATCGCACTAGGAACGTTATTTTATCGTGACTGTTTTCGTAACGTTACGCTCGGAAAACAAATTTTCTTTATCTCGCCGGAAGAGTATCTCGCAAGGAATAGAGCAGAAATATCGTTTGCAATTTAAATATCCTTCCACCGACGGAACAAGTAATTTGTAATTAGTAATTACGTAAATTTGTTTGCGAAACACTCCTGCGGCACATTCGATACGCGCATAAATTTTTTAAATAAATACAGTCGGATGTGGATACATGCGAAGAAAAGAACGGCCGCTCGTTCTAAAATCATCGGCGTTTCCCTCGAGTCGAGTGCAAGGAACTGATATTCAATTCAGGTGAACGAAACGGGTTCACTCGAGCTTCGGTTTGAATCGTAGGCGTAGAACTGATTTCATTGACTTGGCGGTTGCCAAAAGTATCGCGTAACCGTCAACGGAAACGTCGGCTTCTGATGCGTCGCGTCGGATGATCGTCACCGTCGATGTTTGTCTCGATCCGCGGAGTTTCTTGGCACTCGATGTAACAGAAAGTTAATTTTCGTACGATGTTGGTTTTCACTAAACGGTACTCACTCTGAAGCTGGTGTATCGTAGCCTGGTACTCGGCGAGTTTTTCGTCGACGTAATCCTGACTCTGGTTGGCTATTATTTCCGCGGTGCTAGGACCACTGGCATCCTCTTCCGATTGCGAGTGATCCAGTGGCACCCCGACGTATTCGTAATCGCCGGGTCTGTACGGCGAGATCATATATTCCGGCGGTCCGCAGCTTCGTAGCTCTACCAAAGGCGACGTTGCGCCACTTTCCATTGGACTTTGCTAAAATTCGAACAAAAACATTAGTAACCATTTTGTTTGCATCCGATCGGGCAGCGCAACCACGCCCATAGGTTTCTGCGAAACGTGTCGCTGATTTAATCGGGTTTACAAATTATCACGGTGCGATTGCACCTGGCGCGTGTATTACGGAAACGGCCGTTGAAACTCGCCACAAAGCGTCGCGTTCCGCGTTCTTTGTTTCGTGACTCGAAAGAATTTCGACATTACCAATCGACAATGAGAATACTCGAAACGTCGAGTCTTTCGCTGCCACGTTCGTCGATTCTAATTTCACTCGTTCTCGATGTCGGCGAGCATCATTCGACACGCAACGCTTTCCGAACTGCAAATCATTTCGAGCTGTGATTACGTTTCGAGACATCCGTCGCGTCGTGTCCGGTGCTCGTCTTTGTATTCCGGCGTAGTTTTTGGTTAAAAACGAATAGCCTAGCAGATTAGTAGATTAGATATTGGTGTTCGAGAGCTACGTACCCGAGTCGGTATGAAGGGCCTGGGTGGCTGAGTTCCCACCGGAATCGGTGACGGCCATCTGGGCCTTGGACACTGGATGTAGCCGGTCGGCGATCCAAACACTGGCGACATTCCTGGCGAAATCGGCATCCCGATCGGTACCGGGCTCATCGGATGCATCATTCCAGAGTACGTCAGAGGGGACGTAGGATGAGCATGACGAACCGGAGTGCTCGGTCCCCTAGGACGTTGCACATGCGGTGAACTCGAAGGGCTGTACGGCAACGGCGACGGCGATGGCGACGGAGGTTGTAAATGACCGGGCACGTTCGGTCTGCCGGTCCAACTACCTCCTGGCCCGTGTTTCCCATGGGGTTTCGACGGCGGTTGCGACATCTCGGTCTATTTCGAAACCGATTGCCGATCGCCTAGCATCGCTGCAACGGAGGCAACGTCTCGTTCATTGTTTTGCTCGGTTCGAGAGGATCGATAACGCGATCGGCCGCGTTGAGAGGAGACGAGTTGTTCGCGTTGGTTGATTTTCGAGCATTTAGTTGAAAGATTCGCGTGTTCCAGCGTAAAGAGCAGACCATCTGTCGAATCGTTATTTCCGAGAGAGCCGAAGCGTCTTGGACGGCTAACGAGCTCTGGGTCGCGCAGTGGCAGTGAGTAGGCAGATTGGAATGGGCAGTCGGCCAAAAGTCTCTCGAAATAAGCGCTTGGATTGTCTGCTTTTCCGCTGACTTGGGCACGTTTGCGTGTGAAAAATGTGTAACGGACAAATCGTGTGGCGCCGTGCGTGACACGTTACGCGATGCGAGGACATGGAAATAGGAACGAAAGAAGAAGTGAAATGAAACGATTTTACGATACTTTTCTCGGTTCTTATCGGCTAGTTCGTGTGCTGTTCGACAGCATACCGAGTACCGCGTCCGAGCTGAAATAAAGCTAGATATAAAAGAAATTACGTTTAATCGCCTGGAAAGTTTCTCGAAACGGGCGCATGGGAACGGTAGCGTTCGACGATACTCTAAGCGCTACGTAAATATTAATCGATATGTAAATCGGTAAAAAATTTAAATAAACGTTCCAGCTGACTCGATATGGTAAATTTTCTTGGATAATCGAAAGATACTAAATGGCCTTACCGTTCCCAGACGTCATGGCAAACGATAATTCTGTCGAGAACCCAAAATGCAAACGTCAGCGCTAAAAATAATACATCGCGTTATCTTTTGTTCGGATCTGTTAATTTCGAGCGCGAAGAGAACATATCTCGTAGTTTCTTTGGAAATACAAGGAAGTTGGAAGAGTGCGGTTACACGGGTCGAAGGTCTAAAGATTTTTGGCTGGATGTCGAGTGTAGGCCGACTAAATATAGCGACAATTCTATTTCGGAGGGATTCGAGTCGTGCCCACAGACGCGTCCGACACGCCAGGTATATTTGCACCGACTGCGTCAGATATTTCGGAAAGTGACGCGAATATTAACACCTACGACTATCCTCGTGTTGGGACGCGTGTTTCTAATAAGTCTAGTGAGCGATTACGCGGGGGCGCATGGCGCCATTGTTGTTAGACGTAACGAAACGCGTCTTCGTCTTTGTTTTTCGTTGAATTCCGCTAACGATAAGAGACGGATATTAGGATTCAGTTTCGAAGCAACTCGGAGCATCTTCTTCGATAATGGAACTGTACTATATTCCATCCAAGATACGCGTCCATTTTGTTCTCGTTACGTTAAGTTCACGAGCGCCATTGCGAACGACAGTTCGACGGCTCGCGCGCGTTCGAGTTCGTTCCACCGATTTCGATAAAGCATCGAGAAGAATCGAGTACCCGGACTATTTATATCGCGAACGCCATTCGAGAACGATGGCGTACGAATTCAAACTTGAATTCCAGATATAAGCTTCTCCTAAAGAGAGACAAAGACATGGTAAATTCCTGATTATTTCAACACTTTGCGAAAAATGGTAAATTCCTGATTATTTCGACCCTTTGCGAAAAATGAAATGAATCGTAAATTACGTTTCGCGTTAAAGAACTTCTAAACGATTTCTCGATAGTAAGAATTAAAAAACTCGAACGAAC